ATCCCTGCAGGTATTTAAAAGACATGTAGATGTGGTGCTTAGGGACATGGTTTAGTGGTGGGCTTGGCAGTGTTAGGTTAATGGCTGGACTTGATGATATTAAAGGTCTTTTCCAACCTAAATGATTCTATGATTCTATGACCATACTGGATCAAACCAAAGGCCCTTTCTGCCCACATCCTATTTCTGAGCACAACTAGCCACAGATGCTGAAGAAAGACTAGAGCAGGGCACACACAGAGCCCGTCTTCCCACAGTCTCTCTTCACAGCTTTTAGTTATCAAAGACTCAAGGACTTCCTGAACCAGAATTTTCATCTGAGCTATTTAATAGCTACTAATGGAACTACCCACCATGAAAAGACAGTATCTGGAATAACGACATGCTTTGAATTTCTGATGGTTAGTTTTTTCAAAGACGAAAGCTAAAACATCATATTTATGCACTTTATCTAATTTATACGAAGCTCTGCTCAGCCCTGTAGAAAAAATCCCTCCTGATATACTCAGACTGGGAGAGCCCATCACCCTGCATCTGAGCAGCTGGCTTAGCCATGGGGCCTAAGACCGTGTTAAAAACTAACAATCCAGCCAAATCAACATTTGTTATCTAGATATTCCTTTATTTCTGTTGGACTTTTACCTCATATAGGTTACAGACACTGCAATAAGATGGAGCAGCTGAGGTAGGACACCTGAGGGGCTGCACATATCATACCTGCTGTAAGTAAAGCAGGTGATGCTTCACTCTTCTCCTTTCTGCCTTGGGATGCAATGGCGCTCCAGCACAGCTGTTCCACCAAACACCTGAGAAACAAACTGGGGAACTTTGGGGAAGCTATTTAGTTGGTGGCTATCTGACTTGAATTATTTGGGGGGAGCTGGCCTCCTTCCTTTGGCCTCTACTTCACAGATTGGAATACCTAGAGAAATCAGTGCACGTTATAAAACTACAGCATTCACTGTGCTGTTACATGGCATCTCCTTTCCTTCTAATTCAAGGATTTTCTTTAAAACACTTCATGTTTTTTCCAGCTCACCAGACAAGACAATCCCACTTGCCACCTTTCAATTCTAGCCCAGCCATTCATACACATGAGCTGCTGTTTGAATTTAGCTGCATCATCCTGCTATAGCATGGCTCTCAGTACTTAGAAAGGAACGAACACTCCTGCAAACAATTATACCACACAGAGCATCTAATGGAGCTTACAGGGACATAGTTAGCCCCTTAAATTCCCATTACATTTTATAGGCAGTTTCTGTCTTACAATATGCCCGTCATTTCAAATCAACGTAAGAATTTTCTCTATCAAACCGCATGTTTTCATACAAAATACACAGCTTTTGTAAACCTGAGAATGGCACCTAGAGAGTGCTTGCAGGAAGCCTGCAAAGACAAGTTAATGTAGGTCTTTTGCCTCTGCTGAGAGCAACACAGCTATAAACATTTCCAAACTTTAATAGCAAAGACACTAAACAGCTAGCACACAGGAGAGGAGGAACATGAACAGAGGTTTTCCCTAGATTATCTGGGTGAAAAAGCATCTAAGAAAAAACA